TTAATTAGAAACGTAGAGCTTTCATTCATATTTTAAAACTTCATATACACTTTTTCGTTTTAAAATGGGAAAAGCACAGGAGAATGCTTTTATTCTTTTTTTTTTCCTTTATCATGCTTTCCCCAACTGAGGAATTGCTGCTGTGTCTCTGTTAGAGGTCTTCTTAAAGATATGAAATGGAGGGTTCAGGGTTTTTTTGAGTATCTGTTTGGAAGTACACTTGAAGGAATTCAGTACAGCATGGGAAACCATCCACAGCAGTGAAAAAAGGCATAACATGGATTTCTCATCCCAACATCAACACTGGCTTTTGTTTTTGTTTATTCTTTGGCTTTTTCTGCCTGTGAAGAAGAAGTAAGCTGATGTAAAGCCAGGAATGATTTTGTGAAACAGGGGTGCAGCTCTTCCTACATTATGCATTGTTTCCTGGACTGAAAGAAGGTGTTAGTCACACGGTGTTTATACAGAGTATTCCCAAATTGATGTAAAATAAAAACATAAATATCATGTCCAATATATTACAAGGATTTTGTAAATCTCTGTAAAATAAAGAGGATAAATCATTGTTTGGTTATGTTGCTATATCCAGTCAAGTCAGAGACTGGATTGTGTGGTAGCTTTTTCTTAGTTATCTTTTGTTCTCATCATCCTCCCAAATTTATATATGAATTCCTCTTTATGATTCTCAGACCTGATATAAAAGAAAGACAATGGAAAACAAGCCAGCTATTAACATTTGTAATTCTGCTACTTATTAGATCGGAGAGCATCAGGGCCTTCCAAGATGTTAAACAGCCAACAGAAAGATGGGCTCCAACAAATTTAAGTGATGCCTAAAAGAACTCAACAGGCAACTCCTTCAGCTGCTTGAATACACCTACAGTCTCCTTGTCTACACTTGTGTTTAAAAATGATGCAATTTAACCTGTGTTTAGAAATGATGCAATCCAAATAGGTGGCTATTTCTAAGTTATCTGAGCCCAGATTCTGTCAACATTCTTTGCACTAAAATCCAAAGAGGCTTGAAGTTGATGGAATTGCACGGCATAAATCAAGCCAATATTTGGCTATTGACTACCTCAATTATTTACTGCAAAGTATAAAAACATGTTGCTTTCATTAGAACTTCTCAGTAAGTATTTTTCCAAAAGTAGCAAACTATTACTGGGTTTAAACTGTGCTATCACAAAACCCAGCACATTCAGGAGTGTCAGAGGGGCACAGCATAATCTGAGAACCTCATTGTCTTCTAAATCTGAAGAACAAAAGCACAATAAGAATGTTAGACGTTAACCTTGGCTAGCAAGGTTAAAATTTCAGGATACTTCAGAAGCTGCATCTCTCCTCAGGGAGGGAATAAGAAAGAGCTTGGCTGCAAGTAATTATTGCCATGTGGAAAACAGTACCTAGAGTCATTGGCTTGCTTGAGAATTGGATCCAGGTCCACTAGTCTAATGGTTCCTAACTTCACTGTCTGATATCTGAAAACACCTGTGGCTAAACTAGTAAAAGACATTCTATTGTTTCAGGCTTCGCTATCTGTTTCTAGATCTTATAGCTCTTTTCCTAACTCTGAATTCATTTGAATAAATTTATTTTTATTGTACTTCTCAAAGTGGTGTCAAGAATGATAATGGGAGTAATGGGGCAACTGCAATCAGTTTTCAGTTTGTACTGTGCTTTTTCTCAGAATATTCAGAGCTCACCAAAGTCTCAGCATTTTAAAATAGACCCTCACTTACTTCATGATGATGCTTGTGTTCAAGATCAGGTTGAACTGGGGCCCTGGGCAACCTGGTCTAGTACCAAATTTGGAGGCTGGAGGCCTTGCCTGCGGCAGGAGGTTGGAACTTGATGATCATTGGGGTTTCTTCCAACCCAAGCCACTCTACGATTCTGTGATGATTCTATGATGTTCGGCTTGCTTGAATGCTAATAACACCCCCAAAGGTTAGCTGGAATTCATTCACTCACTTTGTCCAAGGAAATGGGAGGAAGTCCCCAAAGTTTACTGATTGCTGTTTAGGCTAAAAAGTAACTCATTAAGCCCTAAGAATGAGAACTACAAGTACAATAGTAATGCAATTGAAATGATAGGAAGCTCGGACTGCAACTGATTAACAGCCATGAAATGCACTATAAGATGCTGTCTATGAACCATCGAAGGGCTAGCAGAGACATATGCAAAACCCATGGACATGCAGACCACAAAGTATCCTTACAAGTTGATCCAGGAGTTATAGTATGATATACACAAATCCGTGGGATCTGATGCACCCACAAATACTGATGGAGCTGACTGGTCTAACATTTTGAGATCTTTTTTTCCTTTTTGAGAACAAACTGGCAGCAGACTAACATGAAAAAGAATGTACATGAAGAATTTATATACAGAACTCACATGTGAACCCGCTGAGAGGAATTAGAAGCAAGCCCATAGTAATCAAATCCATAGCACTTACCTCGCTGTTCTGTGCAAAGTGATTTTGTTCTGAAGCTCAGCAAAATGGAAAACTCTGCTTCATCTAATTGTAGGCCACTGATTCTGTGGTGCTACAAATGGCTTAAGCTTAATCAAAACAAGATCTTATAGACACATATGAGGTAAATGCAAGAACACAGAATATTTTTAAGCCATTTATAAGGAAGTGTCTTGAATGGCCATTTTCCTACATTCACCTTTATCTGTTTATTACCTTCAAGAACCATGCCTCAGTTCACTCTAACAGACATGGTATGGCATTCTCAAGACCAGGCAGACCTATTTTGAGAGAGCTGTACGTATACTTCAAGGAGGACACTGCATTAACAGCTTATTTCAATAATACAAACTTTTGAAAGACTGGAAATTAAGTATTCCAAATGAGCTTTAAATATAGCTGAAGTTTCAGGTTTAATGGACAAAGCCTGTTCCTACTACATGTACTCTTGTACTGCCAAGAGGGCTTCGCAATAAAATAAAATCTAGAAGTGGCAAGTTTGGGGCTATTAGTGTCAGAGCCAGACAAGCCAAGCAATTCTAAACTAAGATGATCTTGGTAGTAAAGATTTCTGTTTGTAAGAACTTTTATGTTTCCCTTCACTCTGGAAACCAAAGTTGTTCCCTTGAGAAGCTACCTCGCTTCTGAGGCATTTACTGAAGCATTTGCTGAAGCATGAAAAATACTACAGATGACTGCTTGAATCACTTCCAGATAATAAAATATCTCTATTTAAAATTTGATCTTGATTAATGCTCAAAGTGTAGGAAAAAAGAAAATGAAATTCCAAGTACCTTATAAGAGCTGTCTGCAAAAACACATCCTACTCTGTTAAATAAGACATCCTATGATTATCAACTACAGATTAGTCAAGTTCATAATCCTAGGCTAATCAGAACAAGAACTATTTCTTCTTCTGTTTAATTATTCTGCAAATCTTAGAAGATGTTTTTCATTATTAAGTAAGCAATCCAAACTTTGCTAACATTTAAACTACAAAAGAAAACAGAGTAAGTGAACAGCAAATGGGAAACAGCCTTTCACATTTGACCAATCAGGACAGGTCAGTGAAATGATGGCCGTAGTCTCTCACTTGTCTTTTTGTTTAAGCAAATGCCTGCAATGAACAAATTGATCATAACATTTGTTTTGCACCACTTTTTATAGGTAAAAACCAGGGTCAAGACAAAGGACATTTGGTGGTTGGGTTCTATTACAGGCTGCCTACAGGCTGAGATTTCAACCCCTTGGATGTCTGCTGAGAAAGCAACACGGTGAGCTGCAAGCAATCCAAGAGACTCCTAAAGGATAATAATAATTAATACTAAAGAGATTAAGAATGGAGGCAATTTGGGCTGTAGTGACAATGCCCTGTAGAGAGGGAGACCTCTCTACCCCACCAATGTATGACAGCAGAAACAGCCAGAATTAGCACTTGTGAATGTGGACTGCAGCACTAGTATAACATTTTGCAAAGAAAAAATCCTTACAAAGCCACAAATTAATACTAAAGACTGACATGACAGGATTGGTAGCTTTTGTGTCACATGCAACCAATGGGAAGCATTTGATGTTTCAGAATTCATTGGACCCTTATTTGTTATCAAAGGCAGTTCTCATTTTCATATAGATACATACAAGCACAGTTGACATACTTTACCAACACACTTTTCTTCTTTTTCTTTTCCCTTCCACTTATTCCCTGCTATTTATTCTTTCATAAAGTCTCTGCAAAGATACCATATCCCACTTTTCACTTATCTTCCTCTAAAGAGCTAGTAGTACAGTTTCTCCTTAATAAAAATACTTGTTTCCCTTCTTAGCTAACTCACTTGACAGTTAAACATATATTTTTAAAAAGGTTTAATTTCTGAAGGTTACTCTGTTTTGACATTTTTAATGTAAATAACACTGTAACAAAAAAGCCAAATCAGCACTCATCACTGACTTTTCCCTGGCTCAGCTGACTTTTCTCCTTCCTCAGCTGTTCTGCTGTTTGCTCTTGGCACCTTGGCACAGTACCCCAGGTGGCCAAATCAATGAAGCCATCACAGAATCAGCTGCCCAACCTGGAGCAACCTTAGGGAAAGCAGAGCATCATTGCTTTCACTGCTGCTGTTATCTCTATTTATCACCATGCACACCTCTACCTATTTTTTTTCCAAACTCCACTAAAACCTGTACAGTGAGGAGGAGGAAGGCAGGACCTTTAGATGTGGAGGGAACTGAGATTAATCTTCTGCACTGGATGTTCTTGACTTTACCTGCATTAGTACTGCCATGTATATACTGATCTCAAACAGTGGTCAAGTAAAATATTTATGAGTTTTCAGAAAAATGAAAATAGAATCTGAGTTTTCAGGTAACTTATATGTTAGTTGATTAATAGAAAATGAATTTACTAAACAGAAAATTACTTCCACTCATAATTTCTGTACAAATCCTTTCAAACATTAACAAAAAGTTCTCCAAACACTTTGAGGATCTGCTAGTGTTACTGTTTAAGAAAAACGGCCAATATCACTTAAGTGGTTTTATTCTCAAAACAATACATTGGCAATATAAAATATTTTAACAGTATTTATATTTAAATATCCATAACATATAATGAATTTTCTTAAATAAAGTGCTATTTTTACAAACAGGTATTTTGTGTTTACATTTACTGTTCTAATCTCTAATTACTGAGTAGATAAAGTGTATTTCAGTTAATGAAGAATGTAGCATTACTTTCCCTTTATATTCCTTCCCATAAAGCCATTACACTTTCTACATGTCTTTTTTCATGCTTTTGTTGCTCTTGATCTCGTCTACAGGGGTTCTTCATCTCTGGGCACTGAAGACTAAGTAGAAAACAAACATCTTCATTCTTCCCGCTTTCCTTTCTTATCTTAAAATCCAAACCATGGAAGCTTTGAACAATTCAACTCTTAGGTTGAAATACAAAAGCAATCTTTTCATTACTTTCCTTGAGGCCTTGTAGGACTGGAATCATTAACATTAATTCATAAAGTTCTATACAAGTGTACCAAGGACTAAAGTTTCAAATTTTCATTTGTATGCTTGGATTTACTCATCTGGATCCCAGACTTCACTGTAAGATCAAGATCTCTTTTTATTCCAGTAGCTACCTCTTAGGAGCAACTGCTTCTTGTGGTTTTATGGAGCAGCCAGGAGCTGTAGAAAAAAAAAACAAAAAAACAACTGATGACTCGCAGCCAGTGAGATTCAAAGCTTTACTCTAAAGAAGACCGACAAATTCCACAGTTACCACAAACAGGTTCACGTTTCCCAGTCTCATTGTTACATCTGACTCCAATAGCTTGACCCTATATAATTCATTTTACTCATCTTAAGCCTGCTCCTGTAAGAAGAAATCATTTTATTTTCAGTTTATTTTCAGTTATTTTTCTTTTTTTTTTTTTTTTTTCATACAATATCATTTCATCCATATGAGCTTTCTTCATCTTTTTATTTCTGATTTGGCATGTTTTAGATTCAGCTCTCCCTCCTTTCATGTCGTTTATCTCTATGAACCTGCGGATCAGTGTCAGCCACATTCAGCCCTTTGATGAATGAGTGGATCTTGACCAATAAAAATCCCCTACATATCGGTCCTGGCAACTGGGTATTCAGAAAGTTCTGATTTGCTCCTTTACTAGAATCATCTAAGCAAACACATTGCCTGAACATACTAATTCAAATACTTCCTGTGAAAAGTACCATTTCTTCAATCCGGAGTTTTCTAAGAAAATCAGACTTTATACTGCTGCTTTCTATCTCAGTGAAGCAGAAATTTTTGTATTGCAGAGCAGTTCATCTTTCCTCATGCCTCCACAGGCTGCTCATCTGCTCTAAATTTGAATAACGAAGCAGAAATCTAATAGAGTGGTTTTATTTGTTCTTTTTGAAACATTCACTGGGTTATTAAAAAGCAACATCATCCTAGTATGCAGTTTCTCTTGTCAGGAACAGAAACCTGTCTGTTGTGATTAGAACACATTGGGAAAATGTTAAGCCTTTTCTCTTCCTTGGAAATTATAAAGTCAAAATTTCTTTGAGGTTTACACTTGGAAAGAATTAATTTCAGCAGAATTTTCTGAATGCCATCAATTAAATTCCATTAATAAAGATACCAAGACAACTCTTCATGCAAGTACTGTTTGCCTGTTCCTAACAGGGATAAGAACCATGGTGTCCTAAATCCTATTGGCTTATATATCCAGAAGCCACTGCATTATTTATATCGAATAATCATTTGCCTTATATAGTTCAGGAACAGATTTAAATGTGGAGCTTCTGCAGCCTGGACAGTCAGCCTGATCTGGTATCATTGGCAGAGGCAAGAAGGAAGGTCTTAATATCATTCTGACAGAAAACGATTATATTTTAGAGCCTATTGTTTTCTGCAAAGAAGAAACATCTCAGTGCCAGCCCCAGGGATAACACAGAACCTGATGCACAAAGTAATCTCTCTCCCAGTGGTGAACTTCACTATAATTGAAACAGCTCAGCTGCCAAAACCCAATATATACTTGACAACTTTTCTACTTTCTTGTAGTGAATATCACAGAGAGCTCTGAAGCAGAGGCCTCAGCAGGAGGTGTTCAATCAGAAGGTAGCTGAGGTTCCAGAAACTAACAATGGAGTATGAATAGCCAAAAATCCTTTAAGAAGAAACTGCAGTATCTTCTCTAACTAAGCCTGTTGCATGAAATTAGTTATGCAATCAATCCTTTATTGCTAATGGCACTGCTTTTACCTTTTCTTCCTATTGTTTTCTTTTTTTTTTCTTCTACTGCATTTCTTAGGAGTGTAAACACAATTACTGCTGTTCTATTTTCCATTCTTGAAACATTCATATACATGTTTTTCTGTTTCTATTGCTTGATATATTGAACAAAGAACAGCAGTTCCTACACCAGTAGCAGCAGAAGAGGAACTGAGCCTGGGCAGTGGGGAATGGGGCATTTTCTGGGGAACTGAAGCTGGGTGGGAAGAGTGTAGAAGTTGTAGAGAATCACAGATTTGGTGATGGCAGTTGGTCTACAGGCTTCCAATAATTTTGACCTTTTTTTTTCCTCAGGAAGTCAACAAAAAGTTAGTTTTGCTTCCCCTCCCCCCCCCGTCCCCCCCCCTTTTTTTTTTTTTTTCTTTTTTTTTCCTAAGTCTTATGGATATGCTCAGATCACAGTGCATTATCTTCTTTACATCCCTAAAGGCTTCACAAAAGCAGAGCTACGCTTGCAGCCACTCCATTTTAGGTACTAAGCTTTTAAAATTACTCAAAATACTGAGGAGGTCTCAGTGATAAGTATGAAACAGTGACACTGACACAGTTGAAAGAGTAGGATACTACTATTACCACATGAGCTACATCATGAAAGGGAGAATCATCAAGCAGCTTTTCTTCTCATACAGCTTGATGTATCCAGAAAGAGCTCTAGCAAAAGCAGTGGTGGTAGGCCATGCAAAAAGCATTAATATTTCATATATTTTTCAAACATTTCTGAGGAAGTAACCAGTTTCAGATGCAATTATGCCATCCAACTATTAGATAGCAATAAGAGCAACAGAATTAAGTTAACACCAAAAACAAAGTGTAATTAATATGGAGAAGCTTGTGAAAGTTCCCATTTCACATAAAGAAGCCTTCTTTACGTGGGATTCCAAGGTCTCTTAACTTGAAGTACTGCTAAAAAAAGGTTATGAAAGAAATACACAAAGCAAGTAAAAAACTGCTAAGCCACAAGTTCTAGAGGAAGTCAATGATTAAGCAGCTCAACTTCTGAGAACAGAGAGCAGATTCTTGTTTATATTGCCAGGTAACAGAACTGATAAAAAATGATGCTCATCTTTTCAAAGATTCCAGCGGAGATCCAGGGAAACACAGACCACAGAGAAGGCAAGTAGTAGGAGGAAGGTAAGCATGAAAAAAATTGAAATAGTGAACCTCTGAAATGTTGGAAAATGTGGAAAATGTGGAAAAGAATCAAAAAAGGGAATTGAATGTCTTGTTTCACTAGCCTACTGGAATTTCATGAAGGAGCCAACAGTATTGTACACACAGAAGAGATTCACTTGATGCCTGAATTTTTAAAAGGTGTTTGGCAAATTCCAAGGCTGGCTTTTGAGACAAGGAATCCAGAGAGTAAAAACATTTCTTGTGTGGATAAAGAATAGATAAGAAGGCAGAAGACAGAAGGTCAGAGTAATGGCTAGCAATTAACATCGGTAGTTGGAATGGATGTATTCTAAACAAGGCACCTGCAGGTAGTCATATAAAAATCTTACCTATACAAAATAAATGCATGCATACAGAAATACATAAGTAAAGTAGCTGTTCAAGCCAGTATGCTAAATTGCAAACCTCAAATACGTTGGATCTACTTGATCACACTGAAGGAAATTGTCTCATATAAACATTATGAAAAAAAGAACCAAATACCCTATATCATATAGAAACTCACCTCTCACTGCTGCTCTTCAACATATACTTGTTTGCTATACTTATATCCATTTTCTGTGTTCAATAATAATAAATGCAAAACAAAAATCTTACACTCCTTTCAAATACTACTGAAGTGTGTGCACAGATCTTATAAATATCTCTTCTTTTTTACCATGAAATCTTCTCTACAGTCTCAGTAAAAGACACAGATGCGCATCAAACACAGAGAATGGTTAACTAGCTTGTTTTCCACATTCTATCCTCCAACTAGAATTAATTAGAAATAATAATGTGCCATTCAGTTAATGTCAGGTGGTACTTACTCTGGGAATGACCAGGAGGCCGTGTGTTACTAACACTACTCTCAAAGGAAGAGTGGAAGTTGTGTATAGTTTCTTGTAAAATCTGTCTCTCTCGTCCCTGGGAAAACAAAATAAAACCACATTAAATATTTCTGTTTCAGGAAAAAAATATTCTAAGTTCACAAAAACATGGAAAATATGCATTTCTATGCCCCAGAGAGTCACAATGCATTATGAGGAATAATATAAAATCCTTTTCTACCTTATATATAGAAAATTTTGCAGTCTTCTGAAACTGTCAGACATCAGTAAAAGCATTTTCAGGATTTTCTTCATGACTATAGCAGCATGGGAAATCATCTTTCTCTCCAAATTTGTAGCTTTGTCTCTGCTGCTTTTGATCTCACCTTGGGGAATTATCTTTATGTTTTGTTTATGTGAGCTTCCAATATCAGAGAGAGAATGAACCCTGAAACTTTAAAAAGCAGCTGAGTAGTTCAGCAGTCCAAATTAAAGAGATTCTCTAGTCCATAATCTCTTTGACATTAACAGAGCTTCTTGTACATCATCACTAGACCACAAGTATACGTGACAAGGCAGAAGGAAAATAAGTGAGAAATGAGAGAAGTGATCATTTATCTAATTACAAAAAATAAACATTGGTGGGAAAAATAAAGGAGACTTTTCACATGACGTTCAACTTAGTGTCACTGAAATCAGTGCTCACTAATCGTAACGTGGCCAACATTTGTGTTAGTGTCAATTTTTAATATATCTGCCTTTGTAAAACTCTGTATAAGAGCAGTACAGTTACTGAACTAGGGAGGACTTTATGCAATAGAACAGGTGGTACCAGAAAAGAAGATATTCTTCAATAAGTATGTTAAATGTCTTCTTTGGAAAACATTTCTTTCACTTTTCCAGCTAACATCTGCAATTGAATTTCCAAATATATATTCAATTAACAATACAAACGTGGAATTAACTTATTAAGTACCATATTTCAAAACCTACCTTTCCTGCATTCAGTTCAGAAATAGCTGCCAGAATTTGCTGCCTTGAACCGTCAGTTTTAATACCCAGTTCTTTCAGATCACCATCAGTAAGAGTAAGGAAGGCTTCCATGTCCACCTGCATGTGAAAAAGGAAGAAGTGTTTACCTAGGTAAGATTCACTACTGAAGGATAGATTTTTTTTTTTTTTTTAATTATATAAAATTACTGGAAATATATTCCATGTTGTGCATGCAAAAAACTTTAATAAATTGACAACTTCAAATGGTACCTACTTTTCCACCCTGCTGTTGAATCTGCTGTTAATACTTCAGTTGTTTGTTATTACATAGTTTAAATGTTCATGGATTTTATTGGTCTTTAGAAAAACACAGTCTTTTCCTTACTGCAACTGTTTGTTGGACAGACTAAGGTTTTTCTCTCCTTTAAAAGCACAGCTGGATTTTCATAATACTGTGTGTTTTTTTTCACTGCCTCCTAAGGAAAATTTAGGGTTTGTTCATAAATCAGTTATACTCTATCAGAACATCCACAAAGCTGTGATAAAAGCAAACATCTATAACTTCATATTGAGAGAAACTTCACACACAAGCATTTCTACAAAATGCTTTATTCCCTATCACTCTAGAGAACTATAATAAGCCCAGAGTACATGGTGCTGAATTTTGAACTCCACAACAATAGCAATTTATTACATGTCCATTCACTGCCCTCTGCCTTCCAACAAATAAACATGCAATGATTGTTTGCATTTGTTGATGCCTTAAACACTGAAATGAACTATTTTCATTTTCACTAATTATTTTTTTTAATTCCATCCTTCAGGTAAGTCACTGTTGCAGGTCTTATCTACAACAACACTCAAGTTCTCCAGTTTAAAATCACCTTCTGCTTATTCATAGTGGGTAAAGTAGGGAAAGCAACCATCTCAGCGACTCACAGCCTGTTGTTCTCTGGCTGCAAGTAAGGTTCCAGCTGTGATTTCAGAAGTGATACAGCAAGTCCTATAAACTGTTCATCCCCATTGGATATGGACATATATAGAGAAAGTAGGAAGTAAAAATGGAAGAAGAAAATATCTGAGGCATCTATAACCAAAATGTAGGTTCAGTGAAAAAAGCATTGATATATTCCTGGAGAATTCTAGGAATATGACTTTGGTCCATGTTTCTAGGTCCTTTCTGCAACTAGAAATGTTTGTAAAACTTTAATTTTTAAGATTTTGGATCATAATTTTAATGCAATGCATGTCATGTCATACTTTTTCTAAAACAGCAAAAAAATAAACCTTTTAAAAAAATATTTACCTCTTGTTCCTCAAAAATAGGTTGATATTTCTCAAGGGACAATTTTTTAAGGATGCCAGTCAGCTCATCTGTAATGTCAGAAAAAAAAAAAAGAAAAAAAAAAAGGGGTCAGAAAAGATTAATTGTATTGATCTTTGCAATGTTAACTGCTGAGGATATATTATCAAATGATATATTCCACATCATGACATACTGCAACATAAAACTGATAACATTTACTCTGCACCGAAAGTAAAAGTACTGTCTTATTGTAATTCTATCTAGTCATACCTTGGTAGGGTAAAATCCTTTTGCTGTATCCTCTCTTCCTCATAAAAACAATCTTAAATAAACAAACTTTTGAGGACAGCTTTAATGCCTAAAATACAGGCGCTTGGCCCTGAAAGGCTGATTCATATCAGGCTGTCTATACATCAAAACTTTTCAAGAAGGCAGTGAACTGAATGAGGAATTTCCATAGCATGATTTAAGAAAGTAAAATGTAGATCAAGCACCTACCCACTCACTTATTGAAAACATTGATACAACAAGGGTACATGCAAACCTCTTCTGCTCAAGCAGCTGACATCCAGTCTTGAACACAGATAGCTGAAGTCCAACTAAGGTGAAACTTGAGCAGAATTTAAGTTTCATAAGGTTACCTTCCCAGGCTAACAGGTCTGGATATTGAGCCTCCTCTCAAAGTCCGACCAACTTAAAAGCTGGAGGACCTGATAGCAACTCTTAAAACACTTTTGAAATATGATTACCTAGTTAAAAAACAAGTGCAGTTTTAGATTAACTCACCATTACCTCTCTTGATTACACAGTACTTCTCTGAACTCAAGATTCTGTTTATTTTTACTGTTATGGTGTCACAAACAATGCACGTATTACTAAAATTATCATCTGAACTAAAAAACTAATGTAAAATGAAGAACATATCATAGAAACATATCATAGGATCATAGAATGGCCTGGGTTAAAAAGGATCACAATCATCACCCAGTTTCAACCCCCCTGCTATGTGCAGGGTCACCAACCACCAGACCAGGCTGCCCAGAGCCACATCCAGCCTGGCCTTGAATGCCTCCAGGGATGGGGCATCCACAACCTCCTTGGGCAACCTGTTCCAGTGTGTCACCACCCTCTGTGTGAAAAAACATGACTGAAAACATTATACCATGAAACTATATTTAATATAATATACCCTATGTAAACTTGCTTTCATTGCAAAGACATAACCATTCTATTTTCAAATATACTTTGGTTTTATTTCCTGCTTTGTCTTTAAAAACAAGGACTTATTTTGACAACTTGTTTGATATGCTTAACTTGTAAAGGCATACCAATCTTAGAGAATATTTTCAAGTTTTCCTTTCCTCTTTCTCTTTTCCTGTATTATACAGCAATTTCGATCAGAACCAGAAAAACGTCTCAATTTTGTAATTCCCACATTGAAAGTTGTTTCACCTTTGCTTTTTCTCTAAGTTTGGTTTACTTACACTTATATCTAGTCTCCTTATCTGCATGCCTGAACAAAGAAGCATAGGTTCTCTGAGCTCTGCTACATTTAGCACCTCTTTGGCACTGTTCTATAGGAGTAGAAGTAGGATAAGGTTACCTTTCTCCAAGTTGTCACCACCTCCTTTTGCTCTCATGTGGCTTCTTCTTTCATTATTCTCTACATCACTGGTTCTCAGAATAGGAAAAAGCTGATGGTCCACCAAGTGATTACCTAAGAAAAAACCATGCACACTTCTGAATCACGCTGCCTACTGATCATTCAAGCCATAACCAAAGAAAATGAACTGATAAATTCATTTCAGTTTACTTGAAATGAGAAATAGTTAACACTACATAACTATTCTTCTGATTACTGCTGGGCCTCTAAGCTGTTACTGATGAAAAACTACCAATAAGAGAAGACCTTGAAAGACAGGACCACTCAAGTATAAAAGCTTACAAGCACAGTGAACCCAGAACTACTTCAGCTTCTGACAATCTATACCTCTGCAAGAAACTTGCTGTATCATAGCTCTAGTGGTGCTGTCATAAAGCGCTGCTTCTCAAGGTGAGATTATAACAGCTGATAGCTTGGGGAATTCCCTTTCTTTTCCAAGAATCAGTTATTTTCCTCTCTATATATTTCTAACTTGACAACTTTTTTGTTATCAAGTTGTTATTGTAAAATGGCACTAACTGAAGCGCGAAAGGATTTTCTCCAGTCATCAGTACAATATGTTACAGCTAGGACACAATAAGAGGATAGAAAGTGGGTCAAATAACACCTCCCTTTAGGGTAGACAAGGAAGTACAGTGCCAGCAGAAAGTTAGCGTAAATGAAAATAAAAATCAATCCTGACACTTTCCAAACAAATAAACAAAAAACAACCACAGCGAATATAGGACATCTGCCTCTTGCAGAAACTAAATAAAAGTATCCACATCTCTTATTTAATAGATTTTGAGTCACGTTATTTTTCTCAATTTTTGGAATATTTACAGAAAAAAAAAAAAAAAAAAAAAAGTAATTGATATTCTACTTCCAAATATCCTATAGCAAGAGGACTTTTATATGTAGAAGTTGTAATTTAGACCTAAAAATTCAAGTTAAAAATAGATGATCTCACTGGAAAAGTATGAATTGTTATGAATCAAAAATTGTCTTTCCATACCATAATGATGTATTTCATTGAATTTATTAAAAACATTTTCATTTCAAATTTGGGGAGAAGTTTTCTACCCTTAGTAAGTGATGGAAAAGCATATTTAACCCAGAAAATGGAGGAAGAAAGGATATGCCATAAAAGTGGCCTACATGCTCTATGATAGCTTCAGAATGGTAATTATCTCCCTCAAACTGGAAGCAATCATAGTTTTTGGACCATAAACACTCACTATTACTGCTGGAATGCAAACCTCAAAGCAGAAAAGACTAAAATATTTTTTTCTACGTAAGAAAATGTTCTCACTCTCATGCAGACAGACAACAGATCAGTACAATTATAGTTTTAAACACTATGTACTCTTGGTAAATGAATCACTTGTAATTGCAGTGATCTACTCACCATCTTCTGTAATAGTACCACTGCTGGAACCATTGCTCTTGGCCTGTCTGTGAGAAGAGGAGAGAGAGGACTCCACGTTGTGAACCTTAGGAGACGGAGAGGGTGATGGGGAAGGTGTGAGAGTTGGTGATGTGCTTTTAGATGTAGATGAAGTTCCAGATGGAGGTCTTTTGTTCATCTCTGTTTTTTGCTACAGTTAATAAAATAATTATTTAGGGAAGAAAAATTTAAAAAAGCATTTACCTATATATATGACCTATATATATATATATATACCTATATTATTCAGCTTTTTGTTTCCTTTCTTTAAATCTTGTGCAGTCTCTCCCTCTCATGGACAGCATTTGCAAATTGATCAGTGTAACTTCATGGCACTTTTTAGATCAGTTCCAAATTTAGACAACATAATCTTAATGGGAGGACACAAGAGTTTCCAAAATGGTTACAGACAGTACTTTTCAGCACTTATGCTGCTTATTACAACAAAGTAGGCTGCTTAAGGTCTTGCAGCCAGTATGGATCCCTATGTAATTGTGTATTTCCAGCAGACACTGCTGTCCAGAAAATCATCCCTGAGGTGATATGTGAACATCTATAGTGAGATGCACACCAATAATATGTTTTATTATTGATGGGTAAACCTAACTCAATCTAGACATCTGAGCAAAGAGCACTAAAGAATTGTTGCCTTTCTAACATACTAGCGTAATTTCTATTTAAAAATCTTTTCAATAGAATTATGAACTGCATTCCCAGAAGATTATTTACAGTGCATCATTACTCACTACTTCTTTATCCCCTAACATCTTCCACTGTGAATGTGAATAATAATTAAACTTCTTACTGGCAGCAGTGTTGTAATGACAGGCCTTAAGATCAGCAGGTCAAAGCTCACAGGCACAGATATTATACCTTAATAGGCCAACTAATGGAACTAGGAAAAAAGGTATGATTTTTTGGATGTATAAGCAGTTCTGAAATTATTTCCAAGACGAAAATAAGCTGAGAGCAACTGCTGACAATTTAATTAGAAATATATTGTTCAGACCACCTCTGAAAGAAAAAACCTTTTGATACCTGTTCAGCAGGGGAGACTTGAAGGAGGGAAGAGGATAATAAAGTGATTTTGTCTGCTAGAAAGAAAGAGACAGATCATTTATAACCTGCAGAGTAATTATGTGGGGTAGAAAGGAAGGAAAGATTATAAGTCCATAGCTTTTGGAGTCCAGCAGAGTTATAGATTTTTAGTCTTAATCTTAATTTTAAAACATGACTGGTAGTCCATTTAGAATCAGGGCTGACAGATCGCACAGTGACTGTTCATGGAAACTATTTTGGCATTGGTAGTTGCACAATTTTCTTTTTCTGACTGTTGCCCTCTGAAATTTCGCTTTTTAAATCACTGAAGAAGTTTGTGACTTTGTTTAACATCAAAATTTCACTTATTAAACATGCCTATTCCTTACTGTTCCCATAGAAGACATCACAGAATGAGAGAACAAATGTAATTTTTGTTTCTTCAGGCAAAGCTCTAAGAAGAATCTTATGAACATGCAAACAAAACAAAACAAAAAAAAAAAGAGTTGTCTTGAGATTACATAAGAAAACGTTGAGTTTTTCTCTTGGTCATGTGTACTAACAGTTGCAGAATAAAGGACTTCAGAACTAAAACTCCAAATTTCGTGCTTTCTTTCTCTTGCTGTCTGAAATTTAAACTTTTCCTGTGTGAACAAACACACATATTTCACAACAGTATATAACATCTTCTGCAAGGATGCTGCTCTCTAGCATGCTCCTGTGCAGAGTCTGAAGATTTTACATCTTCATCCTTGAAAATTTTGCTTTATGCAGCCATTAGCTTCAAAGTCCATACACAGAAATAGGCAGGTCATGAGGGTAAAGCTATTTCAGGAAATCCACAAAAAGTCAGCACAGATAAGATATCCAGCGCTCGTGAGCAAAGCCTGATTTTGATAATGATATCTTGATGTTCATGCTGTTTAAAAACAACATCTTGTGGACCAGTACCTGTATAATATTGGGATGAGCAGATCCTGGTACCCATTATCTAATGCTTTTCATTCAGGTTTGGAAGGAAGCTTTCCTCAGCTTCAGAGGAAAGCTTAGGGATAACTAACACGTAAAACACAAGCCTCAATTATGAGTCAAGGATGGAAGTCATATGAAATGTGAATTCAAAATAACAGAAAATATATGCCTCAAAATCAAGTATTACATTTACTGCTTGTAAAATAAAGTGAAATTAACAATAAAGCAAAATTGCATGTCATTATTAGGTTTGATCCTTTGTGTATTTGTAATTACAAGAAAGGTTTGTAAAACTGTAAAGTTTCCACTGCTTTAGCAGTTAATTAATTAATTTTAGGCTTTGCAATGTCACACAGCTGTACTCATCAATCACTCACGACTGACATGTGACCTATTAAAATAAGTTAATTTAGAAGCAGAAATACTTACATTCATTTGTATCTTTACTACGTGTCCATTACCAGCTGTTTGAGCACACTGCATGTCAGACAGGGTGGATGAAGGAGTTGCCTGGACTGGACTATTGTGTTGGCTGGGCTTCTGTTCAGGTAAGCCTGCTGCTTTTCTTCTTTGGGCTGCAATCTGCGATAAAACATTGTCTGCACTGCCACCTAAGGAAAACAAACAAACAAAAGAAAAAACAACACACAGAGTCAAGGAGATCATCAATTTTAAAGGTCTGTTAGTACTCAATTCACCTGTCTTCACCATTCACTATCACTTTAGAACTGACTGTGTATGAGGGAACTTCAAGGTTCAGATCTGTTCCGCAACTTTCAGCAAAGGAGCAAAAAAACAGCTATGAGAGGAGAGGAGCCAACCTTGTTTACATGCATACACACATATGCAGCTGACTTTCATCCTCTTTGGATACATTTCCTGCATTGCTTCACCATATTTTCTTTACAGTTGGCAGATACAGTTCAAGCCACATATGCAAGCTCCATGAAATACATGCTGTAATGGACAAGTGTACATCTGAATCACCATGAGTGGATTCAATAAAATAAAAAAGTTTTTCTGATAGAAGAGTTAACCTATGAGACCTCTGCAACAGATGTGAGGCTTTTGCTTCCTTATGTAGGTGTCCAAAGTTCACTTCTGTTCCAACACTTCATAGAAATGTTGATTGTGCATCAGGTTCAAGTGACTTTTATATTAAAAACGATAGCAGCATGGTACCTGATCTGTTATGCAGTTCTCCTCCATGCCTATTAATTCCTGCAATGTTATTGGATCCACCAGAAGAATGAGGAGAATGGTTGAAATTGGTAGAATTTGAAGGAGATGCAGGTCTTCTTGCAAATGCTGGTAATTTGACTGGTCTCGTGCCTTTACTAACAGATGTCTGAAAAAGAAAAAAAAAATTATCTTCCTTAAGCAAAACAAAAATTAAACTTCAACAGCTATTTTACACAATTTAAGTTCAGGATCTTTCAATGAAGAAACAGAAGGATATACAAAATATTATTTCTTTGCATATACATGTATATTTATACAAACATATTTAAATCTCTATTTATATAAATGTATATAGTATATTGAATATGTCTTCAATGAAAAAAAATGACATCATAATAAAGGTATTAGGCCTCCTTAACCTTTGGCCAACATGAAATGAGCAGATGCAATGCACCTGTGAAAAAATATAGAAAAAATTGTGATTAGTGGCAAAAAAAAAAAAAAAAAAAAAAAAGTAAAACTTCTTTCATGCAGAATCCTTTTTTGTCTCTCCCATCTTATAGAACAGCTACCACCTCCTTCTCAGTCTTAATATCCTTCTTTCTTACTAATGAAGCTGCAACAAGCAACATGACCTTTCTCTCCTCCAGCTGCATATTCATATTCTCCTCAATGTAAACATCTACCTGCATCATTTTACCATTTCAACTGATGCAGTAAAGATATACCTACATGCTAGCCAAATGCTCAACCACGTCTGCAACTTCCTTGAATTCTCCTTACACACTATTGGCCACTGCTGACCATTTGATATATGACTCCTAAAGCTCAGCTTTTTTGTGCTTCTTAACTTGTTACTCAAATAACTTCTTCCAGCTCTGACTTACAATATTTCTCTCCCCTGTTCCTATTCTCTGAGTAACACATTTCTCATTTCTTTCCCTACAGAAATGTAGCTAGTGGCTAGTCCTCCTCTACATGCTTTGCTCATCTCTTTATACATGTGAGCCACAATCATTTTTAGGATGATAAATTAAACTTTACCTTCCTGAGATCAATTCCTTCTAATCATAGAATGGTTTGGGTTGGAAGGCACCTTTAAGATCACTTAGTTTTCCAATCCCTCTGCTATAGGCAGGGATACCTCCCTCTAGACCAGGTTGCATCCAGCCTGCCCTAGTGTACCACATTCCACCTAAACCTCCTTATTGGTGGTATTAAGCTAACTTTCACCTAAAACAGGAAGACAGAAAAAAAAATCATTCTAAAATGTCTTCACTGTCACATTTCTAGAACTGACAGGAAATACACGTCTGGACTAGTAAAATAAAGTTTACTACGATATTAGAGTCCAATTTTCAGAAGTAGGATCTTCTCTGTGAGCAACTAGGAGAGCAAAGGTTGTCAAGATTGTTAAGGTCACATGATCATTAATTGGTAAAATATTATCACTTACTAAACTTCCCAGCATATTTTTGCATACGACACATCTCAGCAGTTTTTCTTCACTTCCTCCCAGTTCCTAAAAAACTGAGAAACCTTCTTCTCCCACAGCTTGTCTTCAGAACTAGAGCAGCTTCAGATATTCTAGAATGGCTATGCCTACTTTGGCAACTAATACATAAGGATGGAAGCAATAGTCACTTTAGCAGTTTGCAGCAAATTCCTTATGTCTAGTCATTTGTTCCAGTGAACATCAAATAAGACATTTTATTTCACAGGAAACTTCCACACCATTTACATTCCTCCCACAGAGGTATGTATTCTTCCTAAAAAGCAGACCTTAAAAGGAGAAGACATTGCAAAGACAATAGGTTCAAAATCATTTCTAAACATAGAACTGATGTGGTTCACCAGCCAGCATGCCCCAGACATAATAACACACAGTATTATTTTTACATATTTCATTTGCTTACTACATCTGAGTTCCCACTACTGTTAAAATCATGCTTGATTGCTCTCTGTGGCCAGGCAGTTCTCATCTGTTCAGCTTTGCCATCTTTGCTGATTCGTGTTCGATCAGAATTCCAAAGCTCAAAACTGGAGGGTGGTAAGAAAGGGGGTATCACTGCTTTCAATTTATCGCTAGGCAGCCTGGTAAATGGAGCACTACTTCTCAACTGAGAGAGGGAAAAAAAAGAAAGGAAAACAGAAGTGAGATTCTTCTTAGAATTTTCCTGGGTGCTAACGATGCTGTTTCCAAGTTAAATAAAAAGATGGAGACAAATGCATTTTTAAACAAAATTAAATGGAAATGAGACATAAAAGTACCATCTGTGGAGATGCATAGCACATAATAACAGACAGAGTCCAAGGTGCATATTGGCATGAGGAAGTTCATTCACTTAGTACAAAGAAGTGGCACAAACTGTCCCTTTCTTCATCAGTTTTAACAGGAATGTTAACAAGCAACTTCCAAAGAAACAACAAACAGGATGCTTGGTAAAGCTGTCCTCTCTGATCTCCTAGATAAGACACCTGGAAATACTGAAAACCTGTTTGTTCCTGCCCTACATGTATTCACCAGAAAAAAAAAAAAAAAAAAAAAAAGAAAAAAAAAAAAAAAAAAAAAGGAAAGAGCAGCACAAGTGATACTGGCTCCCTGGAGTTCTGTCAGTGAATCCTATCAAAATTTACTCAATCTTCTTAAAACAGAAAATAAAAGATCACCAACCAAATTTAATGACATCTCCATGGAGTAACCTGTAGGAGAACTTGAAGATAAAGCACAACAAAAGAAGAAACAGAATAATATAAATATACATCCTAAACTATTTTACGGTTTACTTTATTTCTTACTTTCAGATTGCTCTGTTTCATGTCTTTCTCACAGTGTACCACTTGTCAGTGAGTAATCAGCCATTCAGTCAATCTATTTTACTAATTCGTTGCTGATCACACAAAAGGATAACTCATGAAAGAAGCCAGCATTCATCAAGAGCTGTCATACTGTACTATTTGTACTACTTCTTAGTCTATAGAACAACATATGTATCACAGCTTGTCAGTTCCACTCCACTGACTACCAACCAGTGATAGTTCTATTTGTAATGTATATGAGTTGTATATCATGTAAAACAAAAACAAAACAAAGCAAAAGTAAAACAAACAACACAAGGAAACACTAACTTTATTATCTTCTGAACATGCCAAGAATGTTTAACATACCATGGTTGTCAATAATTCATCATCCTTCCCTCCTTTTGCAGTGTTTACACCTGAAAAATACATAAATGAAGTTTTATTTTCTGCATGCCCCTGCTTTTTATTCTTAAGGATAGCTTTTGTTTGCACGGAACTATAGAACCATTATGGTTCAAAAAGATTTCTAAGATCAGCTAGTGCAACCATTCTAAAACATTCAGCAGCTGTAGCCTCAGTAAGCACAGAGAATCGCATTTTCCACTGATGCCTCATATACCTAAATTAAAGTGAAGTCAGTAGTCTTTCTTCACATTACAAACTGTGGGACTTTTGCACAAAGAACTGTGCAATTTCAGTAAGTGTTCTTTATAACTTGGGCTTTTCTGGACGTTTTTTCTCAGATTGCTTTTAAACAAACTGATTTTCACAATATAAATTATTTTATGGAGGATAGGAACAACTCCTGAGTGAGCTGTCCATTCCTTGACAAATTTAAGAGTTCCTGCTACAAAGCAGTACCAGTGTTACTGTAGCATTTCCCTGCTGAAAGAAGGTTGCCCTCAACATTCAGCACCATCAACAGTCAGGGATACAAATGTATCTCTTTCTATACCATACAGATAGAATTTGTGACCTTTCAGCTACACTAAACTGAACAAGAACTAATAAACCAGAAATAATATAATCTCAACTACCCCATAAGAGCTCACTTCCTATCAGACAACTCCAGCTTTATCACTACCTGCGTTATTTGTGACCCAGGCCATAGGAACATCAGTAGTTCCAGAGGAGTTTGTGTCACTCTGTGGAACTGCCTTCATGGTGGAATTTAATGAAGATTCAGGTTCATCAGGAAAAGGCCCAAACTGATTGGAAGAAAATCCATGGCGCAATGTCTGAGTCAGCTTCAGCTTGCGGAATCGATTGGACATCCTGCTCCACCAAGACTGGATTGAGAAGGAAAAAAGAACAGTTTAGTTCCAACTAAAATAAAAGCACGAGGAAAAGAAATGTACAACTAGGTAACTCTTACTGCAGTGACAAAGGAGTTCCAGGGTGAAACTACAAATGCAATCTTAAAATGATTTGCAAATATCAACAGAATCCTCCTTCATCAGGCATAGGTAAGATTAATCTTTGTCCTTATTCTTCATTTGGAAAATAGCTTACAATACTTTTGCACACCAACTCAAAAAATGAAGTAGACAACAATATTGTTTTAATTTGAGCCAGAAATCTTTACAGCTACATGGCAAATACTTGACCTGACAATCAACTTTCAATTTTACCATCCATTCCTCTGTTCTATGGCATCAATGAATGGGAATGCATATTTTCTTCTTCTTAGAGGCACACATAGAAATTATTGGAGCTGCATGGAAGCCTCTCCTTCAGATTTTGAAAATTAGTGGCAAACCAACAGAGTTCTGACAGTGTTACTGTCGAAATCAAGATTCACAATACATATAGTGCTGCTGTACAGGTAACTTTAACACTCCCAGACTGGAAAGAGACTATAGTCTGCCAAAGAACAAGGCAAGGAAATAAAACAATACAGAAAACAATACTGCCTAAGCACTACTGCACCTGGAGCCCCTACCTATGTAGGTATATCATATATAAGGATAATGTCCGAACTTTTCTCAAAACAGACTTTATCTAAATAGATTACAGATTTCTGTATTTTTCTAGATGGATGATGCAAGATGCTTCCAGTATGGAGGATGGTTCCCCTGTTACATTTCTCTAGGCTACATAGGGCTTACAGTTTATATTAAGAAGACCCATACAGTTTGTATTAAATTTCATGTGGCTTGGAGGCAAATAAGTCAAGATTCTAAAGATGGTCTGATTAGTTCTTAATTCTTTGCTTTCTGAGCACTTAAAAAATTTAGTCATTTAAAAATTATAGTACTTCATCAAGACTGCTTTATATGATGTCCAGTCCAGACACGTACTTTTGTGGATTACTTTTTATACTTAGCCATTACTCTCACCATACATGTCCCTTTCTCTCCCTGGCTTTTAATAATTTTCAACTGCTTATTGATATAACTCTTCCCAGCTGTCATAATGTAGAAATAAGCAATATAAGCTGTAAACTTATTTCCCATAAATCAATCACTCTAGCAAATGATCATTAAGATGATTTTAAAATCTGCACAGAGTGTTAGTAATGGACAAAGTACTCAGACCTTTGTATCTCTTTGGAGCCATAATTAATAAAGATTTACATTACTTTCAGCAACAAAGACCTGAAGGAAAAAGGCAATGGAGACAAATGGTTCTGAGAAAGAAACAAAAACCACAGAGTTCAGCATTTATTCACCTGCCAAAAGGAAATCAAAGGGTGAAAAAATCCCTCTAGTTCTAATGTGGAGAACAATGAGCTTACAAAAGGGACTGCTTGTACAATGTGGTTTGCTTGTAAAGGGATCAAAATAACTTCACTGAGCAAAAAGATCACATGTAAGTTCCTCTCATATTTGCCACTCTTTACAGTGCTTTTGATTTCTTAACATATGCTCTCATCACAAAGTCACCTGAAATAAAGTAAGAGCAGCCACTACATTACAGTACAGAACACCTGTACTACTCTCTGGTAAGAAAGGAATTCTAGCAGAGAGGTTCATTTGTCTTCTGGGCTTAGAGTACACTCGTCTGAGCTTTGGAGTCTTCAGTGTGCTGCTGCAGCAGTTGTGGCCTGTCCATTAACCTTTTGTCTCACAGACATACAGAAGCTGGAATAAAGGGTTTTAAACTAGGTTGAAAAAAGCCAAGTAACATAAATGTATTGACAGATGAAAATAGCGTCTGTCAAAAGGCCAAGATCTAGTAGCAATGGGAGAATGCAGTGGTATCAAAGATTAGAAAAATGGTGCTGCCACTTGAGAAATACCTTAGATGTTTATAGCAATATTAGAAAGTTGGCATGGGTTTGTCAGAAATAAATCACACCAAATCAATCTTTCTCTTTGTCAGGATAACTGGTTAAAGTGGGCTGAAGGGAGGAGAAAATTTGACATAGCTTGACATTAATAAAGCTCATCACTATTCCATGTACAACACTCTAAATGAATGAGGGAAATATGCTCCTAGTAAAAACAATCTAGGGAAAGCAACATGACCAAAAGACATACTAAGAAACAAATTGGCAACAATTTACTCTGAAACTGGGAGAAAATATTTAGTGGAATAAAACATGAGCTTGGAAATATTCATTAATAAAAGCAATGATGAAACAGAATTTATTTTGTATAATTTGTGTAAGACATCTGGACAGATGCTCTAAATAATACCGATAAATTTACATTTTTCAGTAGGACTCAAGGTGATAAGTAAGAAGAGAAAATCAAGTGTAAAATACATAAAAAGGAATAAGCAGCAAAGCAGCTGCACTGTAGAAAAATGGAAATCAGAGTTGCATCATCCCACTAAGTATAGGTCCTGTAAGAACAGATCTACAGAATCCTGCTGCTTGATAAGAGGTATGTTTCCAGCCATTCAATGAGATACACAACTAGGACCCTGATTGGAATTTCATGACTTGTTTTGGATACCTCATCTTAAAACAGATAAAGACATACTAGAAATAATATGAAATTTAGGAACCATAGCCTGCAAACAAGGAAATTTGAGTGAGAAAATAGTAAATAAGAGAATGAAGAGAAATTGATATCTAAATATTTATGTAATTCTTCTAAAGATGAAGCTGGACACTTATAATTGAAAAATAATCGATCAACATAGAATGTAGCAAGAGAAATTTGGATTAGATCAGGGGGAAAAAAATTTGACTTTAGGAATAGACAAGCAGTAGAACTAGGTGTGGAGGGAGGTCATGAGATCTTCATCACAGTGAGAGAAAGGAGACTAGAAACTTTGTCAAGGAAGCTCCTGTCATACTCATTTGTTCTCCTTAAAAAAAGGCAAGTGGGCCCCTGAAGTTCCCTCTCATTCTTCCATTTCCTGTGATTCAGAAGATTCCATGTTTTGTCATTTGCATTGATCTAGATAGAAAATTTATGTTTTGGTTGAGTCACCATAAATACCTAACTGAAAACTTCTGGGCAATTTGTTTTACAGTCCTGGCTCCATGCAGAGAAGTTGTCCACAGGGAAGAACAGCTGTTGCAAAAGACAGATCCTCACTTAGGCATTCTCCTTTCACACTGGTCAAAAGCAAGATAAGTTTGATGACCACCCAGCAACTCTGAGAATGTCATTTTTACTCTCCAAACACTATAAGAAGAATAAGATGTGGAAAATACAATCAGACAAAATAGTTAATAAAGCATTATAAGCAAGAGGAAGTTATCTAGGCTTACAGTTTTCTAACTATCTATCTGTTTAAACACACACACAGGAGAATTATATAGAACACAATTTCTGCTGGAAAAGTACTTGATTAAGACTTGTAGATAATATGAAGTTTTGTTGCTTTGAGACCAAACATTAAAACATTCTAAAAGTTGTGGAATATGGTCCAAGCACGACTTTCTGAAGAAGGGGAGAAACTGGGCAAGAGCAGAGAACAGCACAGGGTGTGCCACTGAAGTACGCTGTAGTGACTGTCTTCTCTCTGGGTGAAATAAACCAGGGATCAGGGTGTGATACACATAAATATATTAAATGTGAATATTCATATTTAAATCTTCATCAGTGACAAATCTTTCAAAATTACTTTTTTTCTACTTTCACCTTGAAATCCTACATGATTCCAGTTCAGGCCCTTGCCCCATATCTCTGCAGGAGTTGATCTGCTTTACAGCAGTCAAAGACTAGGCAAAGATAGATAACTGCATTCCTAAAAGGTCCATTGAAATTCGTACCAAAGGATAATCATATGAAAATAACAACTAGTCACTTCAAGAATTGTAGAACAGATTCCAAAGTAGAACTGTAAATGATCTTCAAAATTCATGTCAGGAATAGTCAGGAAATTAGCACATGTGTTTCCAAGATTCTGGTACCGTTTATGTAAAAACTGTGAGCTCAAAATGGAAAGAAACAGAGGCATATAATCACCAAAACATGTTCACCTAAGCAAATAAACACAGCAACAACAACAGAATAAACTAATATGTTCTTTTCTTCTTTTTTTGAGGACAGACCACATAAGTCACAATATCCTTATTCAAGTGGCACCCACTGTTTTTTCCTACTGCTTAATTGCTAATTTCTAGTTAAGGATAACAGCATTGCAGTTACTCTACACAGAGGACATGTAAGCCCTCCACTCTTGCACGTTCTTCCACTTTTTATATTAGAGGTCTGCTACGATCTTCATAATTTTCAAATTTCCATTCATGATTTAAATGAAGTCTACACATCCTCCTAGAAACTTGCTGCTTCATGATGAATCTAAACGCCTCCTTTTTATTATTCTTACATTTAGATGACAGAGACAGCCTCTCAGTTTCTTTGGCTGTCCTGCACACAATCACAGAATTTTCGAATACATAACCCTAATTTCTGTTACACTCCTACATCATTTTTCTTCCTTCTAGTGTCAACTACAAAAGCAAAATATAAAGAACTACTGTTGCAATTTCTACCTAGAACAAATACATAAAAAGCAGCTTCTCAGTGTGTCAGGAGATGGAAAAAAAATCCAGTAACACATTCACTCCCATTCCAAAGAAGAGAAGATTAGTTGTGGGTACAGGAAAAGCCTATGAAAATTAGATTACATTGCATGATTTAAAACTAGGATCATAATGGAAATTCAGTTCCAAACTTATGAATGTAGTACCTTCCACTATTTAATTATCACCCCTGCTTCTAGGCACTGAAATATACTTTGATGCTGACTCTTCTTTAAAAGTCTTCTCTTTGCCTTGTTACCTGAAGAGAAATAAAACTGGACATATACTACATTTCATAAAACTATGAAACACTGCCAATTAGGAATTAAGAAAGGCAAAGATCCCAACAACTAGTTACAAATTAGTTATAAACTACTTCTCTGCTTCACACATGAAGGATGAATAAAAGCATTTACCTTTAGACCTCCTTTGTCATCTGGCAGCATTGGGACATTTAAGGATTGCCTACTTCTGGAAGAAGGCAAAGATGATCTGTTGTTCATTTTATTCTTGTCTTTGTCTACTTGCATGCATGCTGATGCGAGTAACCGTACAAGTTCTGTGTCTAAAAGAAATAAAGATAACTTTTATTCTATTTTGCTTTGCCAAACCACAACTGATAATGCTGATGATTTTCTTGTAATTTCCACTAAAGTTTAATAATAAATCTAAAACTCTCAATGCAGATGAGTACTGACATCTTTGTTTCTTGTCCTGTTTCCCCCCCCTTCTCCCCACACGATGAGCTGTAGTCTTACCATCACCTCTCTAAAGATATTTAGCAGTATAAATAAGAATATGATTCAGTTGAAATCACTGCTGTGACCAAGTGAACTGCCTGCTCTGGTATTCTGCATAAGTTCAGAACAGCATTTTGGTGCTCCCTTTTCTCACCTGACATAGAATAGAGCAGAGAAAAATGAATATTCTTTCTTCAAGTGCAGGTTGCAGAAAAGAGGCTTGAAATTAAATCCCAAAGAGAAAGGAGATATTCAGCCTGGACAATGAAGGGACTGAAAAGACATGGTAAGAAAAAAATAAAAAAAAAAAAAGAGAGAGAAAAAAGTAAGAAAAAAAGGAAAGGAAGCGGCAGAAAAAAGAACAAACATGAGATGAGGACAGGAAAGCAAAAAAATATTCTGTAAAATTGTGTTTTACACAGAAATAAGGAAAGACTTTCAGAAGGGCAGACAGAACTGACCAACATATTCCTCTTTCTGAAAGGCAACAAGATGAACTATTTGGTCCTACAAGAAGTTAATCATATGAAAAATATATTCACTGTATTCATTTTCTAAAATTTCATACTATTAGTTATCAACTTTAGACAAAGCAAAGATACATGCTAGTGACCAAAAACACTATCTTGAGTAAATACAGAGAAAACACACTAATTCCAGTAGCAGTATGGATTTTCAAATTTGGAAAAAGTAATTTAGGTACCAGGTGAGGTCAACAATAAAGTCCCAAATTAGCTGGGCTAAACAAACTACAATAAAATCTAATTGAGGTCTCTCCAAAGCATGCTGATTTTTCCGAAAGCAACTCCCGTAGCTAACAATTTGAAGACTAACATGTGACTTTTCTTAGTTTTGTATGTGGAAGTGATGCTTGCCTACCTACATTTTTCCAAATAGGCTCAAGTACATGAACTGGTGAATTGCTGTTGAGGTTTGTCATTCCTTTTTCTGCAACGGTGAAATTGATTAGTACTTCGTGGTACTGGTAATGGGAGGATGGTTGGACTAGATAATCTTGTAGGTCCTCTCCAACCTTGTGATTCTATGACTGCACTCTCTTTGTCCTGACCCTACACTGCTGCTTATTCAGTGGAAAATTCTAGCTCCAGTTCCTAGTTCAGTGCTAAAGACACTACAGAACACATGAGCCACAACAATTAAATAACACTGAACAGGATCTGATGACAAAAGCACCTCATTTTGGAGTACCTTCAAAAACAAAAACAAGAGGAATAAACTCAATTAGCTCATATGGTTATTTTTCTGTCTGAACAATTAATTCAGGAAAAATATTTTTCAGACACTATCCTTACTTGGTCCAGTAAGGCATGGACCTCAGCCAATCATCTGTAGGAACCTCAGTGTAACTTTCAGAATTTAAGAGTTTATCTGTTTATGTTGCAATTACAAACGCTTCCTTGGTGCTCTCAGCAATAGCATACCTGGGTCATTCAGCAGCATTATCAAGTCAAAAGCAGTGTATCCATTTTTTGCCCGAAGATTGACATCAGCTCCTTGGTTTAACAAATACTTTACAACTTCTTTGTTTCTTCAAGGCAGAGAAAAAAAAAATGCATTGCTTATATGAGAGAAAGAGATAAAGAGAGAAGACCAGTGCTTCATTTCTATCCTTTTACACCATTTCTTCTCAATTACAGATCAGTTTTACCTTTGCAATAGCTAACCACGTACAAAATTTGTCCACAATTTAGTCAAGAGCTCCCATGATTCCTTTGTCACACACTTTTTCTTACTACAAACTGAACTAATTGGTATGCAGAAAGTCTGCTTTAAAAAACTAATTTAAATAGTTAGTTTCTTAAGCTGCTCTTTGGAAATGATCCTGAAACTTGTTGCCAATTTACCAGTGAAATTTTGGGCATAAAGCAGGTAGAAATACAAAGATCAGTCCAGAAATCACTATAAAACATCATTAATAAATAAAAACAACTTCATATTTGTAACAGCTAAGAAATTGCATATAATAAAAGCCAAAGTGACTAAAAATAATTTTGAACTCCAGACAGTCTTCACTTAGAGATAGATATTTCATTGAAATGTCTGGAATGCACAAAAAGATCAGCAATAAGTGATATTACAAACATCTTCTAGCAAAAGCTCATAAAAGCAAGTTGCATAACAGAACATGCAATCCTCATCAATCCCTCTCCTTTTTCATATTCTTCAAAAAGTAAGCAGGACTTGCCTTGCAAATTAGAACCAATACTGTACTACAGCCTACAGAATAAGTCAACAGACTGCAAAGTTATGGAAAACATATTCAATACAAAATTCCTCGAGACTGACCTTGTATAAAAACAGTCGCATATAACCAACTCAAAAGAACAAATATTCTTAAGCAGCAATAGTTGACAACCAACTCTACCACAGAAGCTGAGAAACAGATCTCAGCATCTCCACTTCAGAGAATTACTTCTATCTGAAGACACACCAAATAAAGTCAACCTAAAATGAAGAACAAATGTTCTTCTTGTCTTCTAACAAAACCTCTGCATACTCTCAATGTAGCTCCTCAGCATTCTTCCCTTACTTTTCTTCTACTCCTTAAAAATGTGTTCTTCATCCTGCTTTCCCATTCTGCACCTTCAGAGCACACAGAGTAACTCGATCCTTCAGAGTTCTTGGCTCACATAGAACTTGCTTGCAGAGGTCATTCCACCAACTGCTTCTAGCAAGGGGTAGCAGAGATTCTTTTGAGTATATTTTCAGTCCTTGTTTTCACAGACAAGAGGAGTACCTGAATACAGGAGCCTCCTGCATTTAAATATTGCCAACTGTAGGACTGAGATTACACGTGAAGTACCCATCCTAACTTCTGGGTTTTGATTCTTTATAAACCAGCCTTAGAGAAAACAAGTTTTCTGGTAAACATGTTTTGGAAAAGTTAATGAAAACTTCTGAAGAGGGGAATTGTAAGAATGGATTTTGGACCAGAAAACAGGGCACAAGCAAAGGTGGCTGCCTCGAGTTTGGTATAGGCTTTCTAAGAAGATGGAAATTTCTGTTAGACCCTAACAGCACTTAACTTACCCATGGTATGTGGCCTGCATTAGTGCTGTCCAACCATGAACATTATCTTGTTTGTCAACATCAGCATTTTTTTCAACAAGGAGCTGGACAAGAGGCAGCTGTCCGGTTACAGCTGCAATCATTAGTGGAGATGCACCATCAACATTGGTAACATTGACTTGACTTGAGTCTTCGTCAACTATCTCTTTAACCAGCTGAAAGTTGCCTGCAAAACAGTGATAAAAAAATAATTTACACATCAGCAGTAGATAACTTCTCAGACAGTGAATTAATACATATTTAGATTTGCTGACACTGGCCTACATTAACTGGAAATGGCTTATATAACTAAGCCATAAAGGCTGTACAAATGACAGAATATCTCATGCAGAGTATGTAACTTTTCCATAAAATTGTCCTAAGATGATGCACAGGAAACAGCAGTGATGCTCAGATACAGTCATTCAGCATGATTAAGATCCCTGTTCAATTTCCATAGGCAGAAATCACAGAAAGACACAATTCTAGAATCAAAAAGTACAATGACACTCTGAAAGGTGTTGGACCTTTACTTAAGTAGAAAAAGCAACATCCAGTGTCATACTGGCCCATAACTCCTTCCACAAGGGTGGTTCTTCTATTTAAAACCACTGCTATTGAGAAGCCACAGCCTCTGAGGGAAAGAGTCCATTACAGTGCTCAACTTTCTTGTACTCAGAAAGGAGTCCTTTTTTTAAACTCTGGTTCTGATATTTAAATTAAATCTCCAATCTTCCCTACTCCTTCATAAAAAATAATGCATTATTCCTGTCATCTTTTTTTAAAGCAAACCTAATGTTCAAGTTTCCACTTAAAAGAGGCTGATAGTCACCAAGATTACAAAAAGCTATACAAAATATGGGTAGTTTTTTTTGTCTAATTTTTTTTTGTCTAAGTCATACTAAAGAGAGGAAAAGGAATTTTTTAAAAATGTATGAGGTTAGTCAGGGCCATCTTCTGAAGAGAGTTTAAATTCACCCAGCTCCCTTACTTTTTTTGATGTCGTATGGCAGACAAAAGATGGAAGAAGCTAAGAAGAAAAAAAGATCTCTGATTGACTATGTACCATTGCAGAAATAGAGGCAAAAAGAAACAAACCCACAACTGCTGTGCCAATGAAAATATTTTCACATACTAAAACAAAACAAAATGACAACTTAATATACTGCTTCAGGACATGGATTTCCCTCAACAGAATCAATGATGTCAGTACTTTCCTTGGAAAGATTGTCAGAACTCCAGATAAGCCCTGCAGGCACCATGCCACCCACAATAATAATCTAATTTCTTGGAAATAGAAAGCACAGAACTGATTTTTCATGTCTTAATTCAATAAAAGACATCAAGTGGCCTTTTTTAACCTAGAAGTACATCACAGACTTTGTTAAACAGAAACCCTGGAACCCACAGAAACTTCAGAATTGAATTCTGGGGTCCTGTCACTTCTTACTGCAGCAAAGCTTTTTTATAACCAAGTAGTTTATAAAACAAACAAAAAAGAAAACACTGACTAATATTCATTTGGCTCCCTAAAACTACGTCTGACCCAGCAATAACATTTTCAAACCTCAAACTATAGGTCTCACAAGTATGAGAAGGGCAGATGAATTGAAATCTGACTGACTCAAGGCTGAGCTGAAGCTTACTAATTCTCAATGCATGTACCACAGGGGTACAAACAGCTTTCAGTGCTCTATGGATCACAGAATCACAGAATGGCCCGGGTTGGAAGGAACCTCAAGGATCATGAATCTCCAACCCCCCTGCCACAGGCAGGGCCACCAACCTTCATTTTTCATACTAGACCAGATTGTCCAGGGTCACATCCTACCTGTCCTTGAACACCACCACAGATGGGGCATCCACAACCTCTCTGGGCAGCCTGTTCCAGCACCTTACCACTGTCATATTAAAGAACTTCCCCCTGACATCCAACCTAAATCTTCCCTCCTTCACCTTTAAACCATTACACCTTATCTACTCTTTCAAAGAGTTGACTCCCCTCCTGTTTATAGGCTCCCTTTAGGTACTGAAAGGCTGCAATGAGGTTGCCCCTCAGCCTTCTTTTATCCAAGCTGAACAAGCCCAGCTCCTTCAGCCTCTCTTCTTAGGAGAGATTCTCCAGCCCTCTGATTATCTTTGTGGCCCTCCTCTGCACCCTCTCCAACAGCTCCTTGTCTTCCTTGTACTGGGGGCTCCAGACCTGGACACAATACTCCAGATGGGGCCTCATGAGGGCACAGAAGAGAGGAATAATCACCTCCCTGTCCCTGCTTGGCCACCCCTCTTCTGGTGGAGCCCAGGATACCATTTGAGCTGCAAGATAACACTGCTGGCTCATGTTTAAGTTTTTCATCCATCAGGATGCCCAGGTCCTTCTCTGCAGGGCTGCTCTCAAGGACTGCTACTTCCAGTCTGTATATATACCTGAGATTCCCTCGGACCAAGTGCAAAACCTTGCACTTTGCTGTGTAGAACCTCATTAGGTTCACTCAGGCCCCCCTTTTCAGTCTGTTGAGGTCCCTCTGGATGGCATCCCTTCCTTCCACTGTCAACTGCACACTCAGCTTGGTGTCATCAGCAAACTTGCTGTGGATGCACTCAATTACATCATTGATGTAACTGATAAAGATGTTAAAGAGAACCAGTCCCAAAACAGACCCCTGGGGACACCACTCATTACCAGCTTCCACCTAGGCACAGGACCATGAATCACCCTCTGTCTGTGGCCTTTCAACCAATTTTTTATCCATCAAGTGTTCCACCCATTGAATTTGGAGATAAGGATGTGGTGGGGAACCATGGCAAAGGCCCTGCTCAAGTCCAGCTAAGTGACATCAGTTGCCTTCCCTTTGTCCACCAATGTTGTCACTCACACATCATAGAAGGTCACCAGATCAGATTTTCTATGCCACAGATTGTGTACAGTTCCAGACAGGCTTACTAAGCCCAGTGCATATCAGGACTGTATTAGCCCCACTGCCTGGGGCATCTTAGCCCAAGTAAGGGAAGAATGACAGGAAAAGGAGGAAATCTCTCCTGAGACTATCACAGGTCTCATGGGACTCTTCTCATGTTGTCATTGGATGTAACATTTAATTTCCTAAGATTTAATATTCTTCCCATGTTTAAGAAGATAAATAGATAACTAGAAAGCAGTTAGTCACCAGGAATGCAACCCATCACAGTCTGGATCAAATTTAAATCAACAGGATGGATCTAGCTTTTTCTGCTTTCCACAAAATAGATTCATCAATGATGCGCTCACGAAAGTCACTCTTCGTCATGAGAGAACAGACAAGATTTGAAGCACTTTTTTCTTGAAGCAATTTTTAATAGCAATTACAATGCTTATATGGAGTAGAGGTCAGCATGCTGTTTGCAAAAAATTAGCAAATCTGCTTTTTGAATTTAACGTATAAAAGAAAAAAATGTCATGTTAAAGTAGCACAGTCTTAGAAAGCACTAAATCACACCACTGTGGCACAAAGGACATGACCAGGATCTCATAAACATTTTCTCATGTTGGAATGGGAAGAAAAATAAATTCAAACCACAGAAATAATTGTACTTTTAAAAGTGAAAGGGAAAAAAGCAGTCATGAAAACAGAACACATTTCAGTTTCCCATGTTAGCAAATAAGCACACTGAGTGGTTACAGGAACAAGGCAATAGAAAAATCCTTCCAGCTTACCCAATTTCAAAGCATGAAAGATGTCAGGTTGCCTCTTCTCTGTATCTGAAAAGCATAAATACTTTTATTAACAATATTTAAAATGCAAAAATTTCTTGTAAAAATTTACAGCAAAAACTTTTTAAAAAATGAATTCTTCACAATTATACTATTAAATAAATATGTGCATATACATTTTATAAGAACAAAGAATGCACAGATCACTTTTATTCCCTTTAGTAAGAATGACCTGTATGGTAAACACTGTAAACCTGTAGGCTAAACACTGTAGCACCGTAGCACTGGTACTGGCTTTTTGCCTTTCAAGTTCCATTCTGCATCAGGAAATTGTATTAGGAAATTTCTGTATTTCCTTCCTGGAAGATCTAAGTATCAATTAGAGAACCACGGTATGCTTCTGTGGTCAGGTGAGACCCTCTGTACAACAGTTAGCAATCAAACACTACAGGATTGTTTTGGAAAGTGATTCAAAAAGAGTTCTGTAAGATGACCCATTTTTTCACTTTGTCTCAAGTACTGACAGGTTAACTTGTGAAGGTCACAAAAATAATAGTGATGATCAAATGCGATTTGCACATTAATAGAAATCCATCACTCCTAGATCATCATGACCAAAAAACCTACTGTAATTATTTCAGCTTTAATACTTTGAGTGAAGAATGTTTCCTTCTGTATGCCTTCCCAGTGTTTTGAAACCATTGATTTTGCAGCAGATGAGGGAAAAATAGTGACATATTTTGCACTTTCCACTCAAACCAGAAAAATAAATTTCCTTCTGTCTTCCAAGGCATTACTGACACTAGAGCCAATGGGCCAAGAAGACTTTAAAGAAAACAAGATGTTGAGAGGTCTCCCAGGACTGATTCAGAAAAGGTTAATGTTCATAGCTTGATTTAAAAAGTAACTTGAAAATGCTGAACAAAGGCAATTGCTGGAAAGTCTGAAATAACAGAAGAAACTGTCAGTTCTATGTTTTCTTCTGATTAAGAAACTGCTAACAGAAGGAACCATATGTAAGCACACTGTTAGAAAACATTTCAAAAGATCATTTGAGGAAAGGACGAGACTGTGTATTTGGCATGCACAAAGTCTGGAAGAGAGGCAGCCTAAGGGAGCAGGGGACCACAAGGAGATGCCAGAAGGAAGGACTACCGCCCGTGTAAGCTGAAGTAAGGACAAGGACTGTACACAGGCAACGCCCAGGCCTTCAGAGGCAGTACTGATTTCGTTACCGAAAGCATCCCAGAGAAAAGAGGTGCATTCATTTGGGATGCAATTTGTCCTGTGTACGGTAGTGGCCCAGAAGACAAGTTCCTTTTTTGTTGCCTTCCACAGGATATGCAGACTGCAGTGCTAGAGTAGACTAAAGCCATGGTCAAACATCACTGTGGAAATTTATTCAGATGTTTAATATTTTTCCTCTGTTCTCCATTGCAATTAGTTATTACTCTTCTGCTGGTGGAAACACCCCCTCAGATGAGGTAGCAAGAATACTCATCTGCTTTAATGCAACTCCATTCTTCTAGCTTAAGCACACCTTTTCCATCCTTTAAGTTGAATGATTACAGAAGGCCTTCAAGACTCATCAAGCTAACTATACATGCACAGAACTTACATGCAAAACAGAGGGTACTGCACTAGCAAATCCCACAGATGCCTGATTCTGTGTAAAGTAACCAATCAAGGTCTCTTTCTCAGAGGGTGGTCAAGAGCAAATGTCAGCAGTCAGCCAGTTCTACCTGGCAGCCTGGCTGTGTGAAAGTTGTTGCCCCAAACTTAACCTAGAAGTCAGCATCTGACTGAGTTCAAACCTCCTCTGAATCATAAGGAAGTGTCAGATTTCTGTCCTTCCTTCTTGAAGTACAAGGGAAGCTTGACCTGCAGGAATCAATTTAAGTAAAAATTAACAAGCTTTAAGTAGGTGACTGGGATTGTGGGTTATCTACCCTGCACTGTAACAGAGAAATAATTAGCTAAGATTTAAATAAACCTCTCCAGGTATCACAAGCTGCAGAGAGCTTAGAGTGGACTAACGCACCCTGAAGGCTTTCTACCACTAGAACTGAATGAGTGAAAGTACCCGGGAAAGGTTTGTTAGGGTCAGTCCTATCCTTAGATTTCATTGCAAAAACTTTAGAAACTTTTCTGTTAGAAAACCAAAAGCCTATCCTGCCTTGCAGCTTTTACAGATCCTCTTGCTGTCAGCATAAACAAACTTCTGGAGAAATAAAATGAATAAATCCAGAATATCTTAGCAAAACTAGTGTAAGGCATTTGTAACACTTCAAATTGACAGATGAAAACAAATAGGCTCAGCCTTTACCTTTAATAAAAAAGAAAAACCTAGGAAATTGGAGGAATAGTAACAGAATAATACAGATTAACAGAAAAATATCCTGTCAACAGAATACAAATTTACTTAGTAATTCAAAAAGAAAATTACTAACAGCAAATAATATACCGTTCTGCCCTTCTGGTTCATTATGTGGTACTAAACTTAATGTTGAAGTTTGGATAAAAAGTGTTGCAGTCAAAAGTTTGCTCCCATCTTCCTTAGCCTTCAGATCATCTAGTAATAAGATTGTTTTATATCCTTCAATTCTCTTGGCTAAAACTACCATCACATATTCATTGACAGCACAGTCACAGGCTGCTTCTTTATCAGTTCCTTTATCTCTTTCAGTGTATAATATATGCATTACAATGCAGAATAAAAACCACCATAAAAGCAAAATTTCTGAATGCCATTTTACTTGAGATTTGCTTTGAAATAAATTTCTTTTCATCCAGTTTATATGTGCGTTAGCACAGTCTGTGCACACATTCAGGCGTATTCATGTTTGAGAAATTTGCTTACAAATGTTATAAAGTCCTGAAATCATTTAAGTATTCCCCTCCCTTGGGATCAGAAACATAGTGACTCTTCTAAGTCAGTCGAGGTCTAAACTTCACCACTAAACACAATATATTGTTTGCCATTTAAATTCCTCTATCTTTGAACTTTCAAGTTGTTGTGGGTTTTTTGTTTGTTTTTTTTTTTTTTGTTTTTTTTGGTTTTTTTTTTGTTTTTGTTTTTTTTTTTTTCCCTTCAGCTATCAGTGAAAAAGGCCCTTTAGTGTTGGAGTCCTTGTCCTTAATGTGGGCATTTTATTAATCACTTCTCTTAGTTACTTCAGGAAACTAGACAAAAGGAACACCTTTAGTCTCTCACTACAATGCATTTTATATTTGTAGATTTTGTATTTTTTAAGTTTTACCTCAGTTTGTGACATCCTTTCTTTGGTACCTTACTCTGTTTATGTCACTCCTTCTTCAGACCTTTATTAATCTTCTTTCTAAATAAGCATCTATATCATGTGTTTTAAATGTTAAAAAAAAATAAAGGGTTGAAAACATTATAGAAATTTAAGATATTCTGAATACTTTTTATTGCATAAATATTATTTTATTTATTAATGTTACACTAATGTGGAAGAAAAATGCCCAAAGCCAAGCGTTCCTGCCTCACCCAAGGTAGGTGCACCTGCTCCAACATTTTCAGAAGTCCAGTTACAAATTTTAAAGAACACAAGTGTACATACAAATTAACTCCTTCAATTTCCAAATACAGGATCAAAACTTCGAGAATGCAAAAGAAAAAAACAATGTTCCATACCTGTATGAATTCTAATCGTTGTGAGAGATTCCAGGTAGTCCTTCATGTCTTTGTGCTTGAAGCCCACAGAGATTTCAAAAGGCGTTTTATGCAGTACATTGAGGTGATCAGGATTGGCACCTTTTTCCATGAGCTGCTGTGCTAAGCTCACCTTACCGCTAACCGCTGCCAGCATTAAAGGACTCCAGCCCATTGTCTTCACAGTGTAATTGCAATCAGCTCCCCAGTCTAGTAACAGATGTACCACTGCCTCATGTCCATGTTGTGCAGCTGCCATTAATGGAGTGATGTCAGGAAGGTCATCTCTGCTGCTGTTCAGCACATTTGTGCTAAAATGGTCATAATTGTCTACATAAGCTCCAGATTCCAGCAACAATTTTACCATGCTGACATGGCCACCTCTACAGGCCATCGTGAGGACACTGGCTCCTAATTTGTTCTGTGCGTTGAGATCAGCACCATTTTCCAGCAAGATGTGAGCCACGCTTAGGTGTCCAAACCTTGAGAGAAAGAAAGAGGTATGAAATAATCATAGAGGCTACTGACATACTTTGAAAACTGACATACTCCAAACACAAAAAATGTCATTACCAAATTGGCCTACTGACTAATGGAAAGGACTGGCCTACTGTAGAGGATTATAAGCAACTCTAAAAGGGTAGATTCAAACTTAAAGATGGTAGATTTAGGTTGCATATAAGGAAGATGTCTTCTACAGTGAGGGTGGTCAGGCACAGGAACAGGCTGCTCAGAGATGTGGTGGATGCCCCATCCCTAGATACCTTCAAGGCCAGGCTGGACCAGGCTTTGAGCAACCTGATCTCACTGCGGATATCCATGTTCATTGCAGAGGAGCTGGACTGGATGACTTTTAAAAGTCCCTTCCAAGTCTGTGGACTCTATGATTCTATTATTCAATGCATACATTACTGAATGAAGCCGTGATCACTTTACTGGAGGGGAGCAATCAAAAGCTGCGGACTGCACCTTCCTAAAATGTTTCACATGCACCAGTGACCATGCCCATAAACTAGACATCAATATAAGAGCTCTGGCCAAAGCAACGATACGCTACCTTCAGGCCATCAACAGAATAGCTTCTATAAACTACAGGCCTTGAAGTCACTTTCAACCTTGTATTCCAAGGCCTATATTAGCATTGGGGATCAAAGTCAGTTCGCTTGTAAAGATCTTAAATAAATACCCTCTTTACTACTAAATGAGTAAGGCATGTTTTGTAATAGCATCATCCCCTGCTTTGTAGTTGGGAAAAATGAACCAACTCCCATAGTGAAAGAAGGGTCAGAGTCAACATAGGCAGGTGTGATGTTCTTATAAGGCTTAGAAAACAATATAGCAAGTAGCCACTGTTATTATAAGGGAACTCAGCACTGGGGAAACAGAGAAACTCTTCTTGTGTGAAACATTTGAAACTCGGATTCTGACGCTGGTTTCATCGAAAGAATATCATACAGGCCACCCTTCAATCAGCTAGCTCACAGTGAGGAGATGGGAACCTTAGACCCCTCCTCAGCAGAAGTAATCTCTCATTTTACTAAACATAAAACATTTACAGGATATGTACTTCTGCGCAGCTCATTGCAGCTACCATGCATTACTATATGCGTGTGCAGGGTTAAACACAATCAAATTTTGATGCTGAAAGTTCCTTTCACGTGCTAAAGAGAAACAACTGTTATTTGAGGAAATCCCCAGGAACGCAACCAACCACTAAGTGCAGACATGGGACTCAAACACCCTGGTGTACTTGCAGAAAACACATAGTTGCAGAAGGAAGCCTCCAAGAGCTCTGTAGTGCTTCTGGTGTAAACCTTTCCACTTCACTACATCACTACAGCAGCTCCAGCAGTCACTGGAAACATAGTTACTTTTATACATACATGCTATCTCACCAATTTCAAGAGAACTAAACACAGCCAGAAAATTCAACATGCGCAAAGTTTGGAAAGTATGTCTGTATAGTTACTGCATTTCCTTTTTAGTTATCCATTAAAAAAAAAAAAAAAAAAAAAAAAAAAAGTTTTGCCACTTTAAGCTTTCTCTGCAGATTTCTGTATCTATTGCACTTCTCAAACAGTAACAAGTCATTTCTTTAAAACAATCAGCAGGCTATGGTGATTTGGTTTATTGTCTCTGGAGAAGGAGTGTAAGGTTTTCATTAAAGAAAAAATCTAAGAATGTTTTTGGTACTTTTTTCTTATTTAACCTTCACGAAATAACAGAACTGTTGAACCCTGTCTTCCTTGTTCTTACTGGAAAACCAGCTGTGTGACTCATTCTTTGGGAACTTTCTGTGGGCTTTAACTGAAAGGAGAATGTTGACTTTCAAACAGATCCTTTTCTTCCAAGTATTTTAATATTATGAAAGAAAAAAAAAATACAAAAAACCTCTCAACCAAACATTCAATTCATACTGTTCTCAAATCTTGCAAAATACGTAATTCCACAGAGCGTTCTGTACGTGAAGATAAACACAAACACAAGCAGCAGCAATACCAGAGCCTTCTGCAGCCCTGCAGTGAATAGATGATAGAGGGGTATGATGCACAGAGATCCAGTGCTGTCATTAACATCCAAAGGAATCATTTTATGTATGCTTATTGCTGAAGGTTATCCTTCTCCATTTATTAAAGGAAGGAAAAGCCAGGCAAAATCAATTATTCCCATTTACTTTAATCTACGTTATATCAGAGATGCTTTTTCAACAGGTAGATGTGAAAATAACAGAAAATGAAGTACGGCTGAACAGATGAGGGGCAGGCAGTGCTTTCACATTCAGGTGAAGGCTTCGGGGCACCTTGGCTCTGCACTGAGTTTGCTCAAGCGTCAACCACCGCACCCCTTCATGCCCTTTCCATACCTACGCGGCCGTAGGAAGGGGAGGAAAAAGGAAACTCAGCACTTGACCAGAACACTCAACCCAAATCTTTCGGCCCACGGGGTCGCCATCTGGGGAGTCGACAGGTGACCGCCCCCTCAGCGCAATCACAGCTCCCCGCGGCCCAGCCCCTGCGAGATCCTCCCTCGCTTGCTCCGCCCCAGGTGTCGGAGGTTGTAGGCGGCCGCCGCCTAGGCCGGTGTCCGCCCGCCCCGGGCCTGCGGCGCGGCGGGGAAGCGGGCGCCCCTACCTGGCCGCCTGCATCAGCGGGCTCCAGCCGTAGTGGTTCGTGCTCTGCACCGAGGCCCCCTTCCGCAGCAGGAACCGCACCAGCTGCTCGTGGCCGCCCGCCGCGGCGAACTGCAGCCCGGTGTTGCCCGCCTCGTCGGTGCAGTCCACGGCGACGGCGGGGGCAGGGGAGGCGGCGGCCGCTTCTCCGCGGGGCTCCACCGCCTCCTCGGTGCCGCAGGCGGAGGTGGCCGCCGACCCAGCGGTGCCGCCAGGCAGCCCCAGCAGGCGCCGGGCGGTCTCGCAGTCGCCCTGCTCGCAGGCACGGAGGAAGAGCTGGACCTGGGCGGGCACCCCGCACTCCCCCATGGGCAGCGCCGGCAGGGCCCGAGAAGCTCGGCCGCCCGTGCCCGCCCGCCCCCGGCGGCGGTTGGGAAAGCGGCGGCGTGGAGGAGGGGACTCCGGCGGCGGGAGGAGGCAGGCCGAGGGCGGCCCGACCGTGCTCGCGACTTGGGGAAAGGAACCCGCCTCAGCTGCGCTCCTCAGGGCCGTGAGGGCCGGCATTGCCCTCTGCTCCAACCTGTGCTTGAGGGTTCGCGGCTCCTGCCACTCATTCGGGGGTTTGTGTCCTTGCAGCTGTTTTCCACGCCATGTTCGTGCTGCGGTTGCTTCCACACAAAGAACTAGCTTCGTGGTACCCGTGTTCCTTCCCCTAGCCATCACAGCAAGCCCTCGCTACAGAGCTGTCTTTCACCTGAAAAAAAACAGACCCCTCTGCTAGCATGGCTTCCACAACCCAGCTGCTCTGTGCCAGCCCAACTCTAGCTACATTGTACCCGCACCTTCCTGCTCAGCTTTTTCCCTCTCTTCTTGACTCTCCCCTCCCTGCAATAAGGGATTTCGTTATCGTTTTCGTTATCTTTCCATCCTGATAATGCCCATCAGCTGGTCTTTCTGTTTAATGACTTTGAGTGTAAAGCTGATCTCTTCTGGTGTTTTTAAGTCGCTTTCTTTTCTAAGCCTCCAAGTTAACCTGAAACCTTTTCCAGGTCATACTGAACTACAACAGCTAAAGTGAGAAAAAAAATGAAGCGCTGGTGAAATAACTTAAACTACAATTGACTTGTCACTTAAGTATATAGAATTGTGCTTCTACAGTTTCTTCTAGAGAATCATGGAATATCCTGAGATGTAAGGAACCATAAGGATTACTGAGTCCAACTCCTGGTCCCTCACAGGACAATCCAAAATTCAAACCCTGTGTCTTGGAGCACTGTCCAGATGCTCCATTAACTCTGGCACTTGGAGCCATGCCCACAGCCCTGTGGTGCAGACCCTTTCCCTGACCCCAAACTGCCCCTCCCCTGACACAGCAACATGCCGTTCCCTCGGGCCTCTCCTCAGCTCCTTTGCTCTGCGCTGAGCCAACAAGGACTTCAGCCGATCGTTACACATCTTTCCCTCTAGACTCTTCACCATCTTCATAGTTCTCATTTGAACACTCTCCACTGTGTCTTTTTTATACTGTGGCATGCAAAACTGCACACAGTACTCAAGGTGAGACTGCTCCAGTGCAGTGTAGTGTGGGACATCCCTTGACCTGCTAACAATGCTGTGGTTAATGCACCCCTACAGCCTCCAGCAGGTTGTTCTGTTTTAAAATATTTCACCTCAACAGCAGAACATGGCACTAATTACTATGGTGGAGGGTTTGGTGGACTAGGAGACATTGCAGGAAGTGTAGTGAAACACTAGATGTCACTAAAAGGACATGCTGGTTTCATTCAGATGCACCCATACTTTCCATGTTACATAGTCTTCTTCCTCTGATCCACTGGGAAATCCAGATCATGAGGCTGTCGTGGCAAAAGGTCCAACAAGTTGTACTTTTAGAAAGACTCCAGGAAATGAATACCCACTGCTTATGGATACTGGGAGTGTGCTGTTCACAGCAAAGAAAAAATGAACCTCTGTGAATTTGTCCTCACAAAAAGGACCAAATCCTAGATATGATAAATATTCAGTGATCATTCCTGCATTATAGATACCATGCATTAAATGATGTAAAATACGTAAACATTTAACACACCCATTTATGCTAAAAAAAAAAAACAACAACCAAACAAACAAAAAAAAACCTGTTAAGCTTCAAGATGCTGACACTGGCCATCGACAAACTTTTGGTCTAGCCAGTACAACCATCCTTACAGTGCAACAGTGTGAGGAGCTCGCCATGACGAATAAAACTGGACAGTGCAATAAATTTCATGGAAGATTTTATAGTTTGAAAACTGGAATGGCAAGAGTGATTCATGCAATACATTATTCAGGATTCAAAGAAAACTGGGTCATGCTTATCATATCAAAGTGCATGCCTGGATACAGTCAAATGAGTGATGGGATCACTCCAGTTTATCTTTGAGATAAGTTATGGAACATGTTTATCATACAAATTTGTGTTATGTAGCTGATAATTATGCTATCAAATTACCCTAATAGTTTGAAACTCCAGACAAACATATAATGAATAAAAGTAGAAACCACCTAGCAGCAAATAGAGGCAACTCTTCTTTTAAGAAACTCATAAGCAATAGGAAATAGTTACAAAATGAAAGAAGCTCCTCTGGGAAATATGACTTGATTTCTTCAGCAAAGAAAGAACAATTTAAGTCTTTCAAACTGTGAAAAACACATTGTTTTTGACATGGAATTCCTTCATGATACCAGTGTACTAATTTGGATAAGTCAGTGTTGGATTGCACCAAGGTTAAAATTATTTGAAATGACCTGAGCAAATTTCTACCTTATGTATCATTCAGGGTCACATGATATCAGACTGTAAAAGTACCATAAAAATAAAATAAAATAAAATAAATCTGAGAAAAGAACATATGCAAGCAGTGAGAAATCTGTTGCAAAGGAAACCAGAAAACTGGAGATAGCTCAGTCATTATGAGAATCTGGGGATGATGGCATCTGAAATTCCCATTATTTCATGGCACTATTTCATGACAATTCAAAGAATAAAGGCTTATTTTCTACTGAAAGACCTTACTTGTGTGAATCAGAAGAAAATCATGACTGAGAAAAAGAGAACTGAAATTTGTAGCTGAAATTCCCATTATTTCATGGCACTATTTCATGACAATTCAAAGAATAAAGGCTTATTTTCTACTGAAAGACCTTACTCGTGTGAATCAGAAGAAAACCATGACTGAGAAAAAGAGAACTGAAATTTGTAGTTTGTGTTTCATGTAAAGCCTCTTGTCTGAAAAATATAGACTCATATATTAGAAGTGTTATCAGAGAAAAGAAGATACTTCTCCAGTATCAACCTTCTCCAGTCTCATAAAAGTTAACTTTGGTTTCTTCAGACAGAGAAGCAGAAATGACCTTGGTAAGCATGGGATAACTATGGTTAATTCCACCATTCAATATCACCTTGAGTTCTTGGGCCAGTTCTTTAATCATGGCATGCATACATATCAGCTTTGAAAGCAATGTCTCCCACTTTGTTATGTGGGCTCTTGATGTCAGAAACAGACATTGATGGTATGGCAGTAGAGGTTGAACCTACCCACCAATATCCCATTACATTCTGTTGCCGTGCAACAGATGGCAGCAAAGGGCAGTCTGACAGAATGGCATCTAACATGGAAGTGTCCATGAAGCAAAAGTGTGGAGCTGAATTCCTCCATGCAGAAAAAATGGCATCCATCAGCATTCACTGATGCTTACTGAATGTTAATTGAGACCAAACAGTGGATGCAACCACAGTGAAGTGGTGCAGCACCTCCCAGAGATGCAGATTTTTATGAGCGCAGCATGCAGGCTCTTGTTCACTACTGGCAAAAATGCATAGCTAAGGGTGATGATTATGTTTATTTATTTATTTACTTTAGTGGAGAGTTTGCTATATTAAATAATATTAATGTGCTCTTTGTATCTGTTGTAATTTTCGTGGAAATAAATAGGAGGCATTACTTTCAGAGCGACCTACATATACCACGTCTCCACTTTGTCTACTACAACAGCCGCTATAACTTTATGATGAAATTAGTTCACCTGTGTTTCTGAATATGAAACAGTTTTGATTAAATTTTTAACAATTATTTGGAACCCAGTATTTCAATTCACTGCATCAATAAAAAGTGTATGAGATAGCAGATTTAAAAAGCAATAGACCTTGAACAGTCTCCTTCAGTAACAGGTCCTGTTACACCATACTGTGTGTGCAGAACTGCGGTTTTGTTCCAATAGTTTCTGATACTTATGCTTGCTAGCCATGACTTCATATAAAGGACCTCATTTACTGTCTACAGTTCATGCTATTTACCTTAAAAGAACATGTATGTACCTACAATACATACCCACAGGAAGTAATCCACTGACCAATGTCTTTGGCATGCACATCCTTACTATCTTTAAGCTATCTTGGCTTGCATACAGTTATTTGAATAAGGTATTTTGTGTATGTGTTTACGTATATACATGTACATACTGTATTCTGCAAACCAGTACAGGTGAGGTATTGTACCAGCAGCACTCCCCAAATCAGCCTGTTTTTATTGACATGACAATATCAGAATTATGCAGCATTCATTCTTCAGTCTGGTACAAGATGCCTGAAATAGCTCACAGTTTCTATCTCACTCACTACCTCTGTGTTTTTAACCCATTTTATTTTTAGACCTCCACACCCACTGTTCTTCCTTTTAAATTCCTGATGTGCATCCTTGCAATGCAGCTGGACTCTCTCCTATCACAGAGGCTGCCCTATAAAAACTAAGGTCCCCACGGAAGCAAGAAGGGCTGAGCACCTACCTCTCACATAGACCCACAGCAGGGAAATGAGCACCTGGCTCCTTTCAAGTTTCACTTGCATTATGCAACTGTGCCAAGTGATAACACTTTCCAGGCAAATATATTAAATAGAAAAAATATCCTTAGCCCTGGTTAAAAAGAAAAAAAAAAAAAAAAAAAAAAAAAAGTGGTATGATGATGAACAATATTTAAAAAGAGACAGGCATACCTGTGCTGGTAAAGGAGCGAATAAGCACCCAAGGTGGGAGTCAGGAGAGCTTGCAGGGCAATGTTGTTCTACGCCCAGTTAAAATGACTGTGAATAATGACCCATCATCAGCCCACAGCTACCTTCAATGTATGTATATTTGATTATTTGGCTAAATCTTCTCCCTGAGCAAATTTTCTATCCACCTGCAATGTATTTGTACATTGTCTTCTGTCATCTATATATTTTTTTCTTTTTATTTGAGAACACCCAACCATTGGTTGTTACTGAAACAAGGAACATTATTCTGAAAGACATTCTTTGGGACTTTCTTTTCCCCATAAAGAATGAATTTAGGAAGCCATCTGAGCACAGAGTTTATTCAGAGTT